AATTTTCCAGTTTCGTTTTTTAAGTTTTCAATTTCTCGACGTTCAGTTTTTTAATTATAGCTTTTCGACTTTACAATTTTCCGGATTTCCAATTTTTCTCGTTTTTTCTTCTTTCCAATTTTTCGATTTTCTTTCTACGTTTCCGATTTTGCAATTTTTCGTTTTTTCAGATTTTCAATTTCTCAGATTTTCCAGCCCTTTTACTTTTTCGATTTTCCCACTTTTCGAATCAGGGAAATGGAAAAATTGGAAATTGTAAAAACCGAAAACGTATAAAATGAAAACTTGGAAAAATCTAAAAATTGGAAATTAAGAACTAGAAAAATTGAAAAAACGAAAAATAGGTCGAAATCGAAAGATTAAAAATTAAAAATCGAAAAAGTGCAAAATGTGAAAATTGCTTCGAAAAAATTGTAAAATCGAAAATAAAAAATCTAAAAAATTGGAAAAATCTAAAAGTTGGAAAATCGAAAAATTATAAAATCCAAACACTGAAAAACCGAAAAATTGCAAAAATAAAGAAAATAAAAAAATCGAAACGAAAAATTGCAAATCGAAAAATTGAAAATTCTAAAAATTGAAACATCCAAAAGTTAGAAAATCAAAAAAACTGAAAAATTTGAAAACGAAAACTCGAAAAGTGAAGAATGAAAAACTGAAAAACAGCAAATCGAAAAATTAAAAAAACAAAAATTATAAAATTGGAAGATTGAAAAACTGAACACTTGTAAAAATGAATAAAATACAAATCTAAGTAAAAAATTGAAAATTCGGGAAAAACTAAAAATCAAAAAATTGGGCAGAAGAGAAAACAAATGGAATCGAAAAATTGGAAAATTGAGAAGCTGTAACATAAAAGATCTAAATTAAAAAATTGGAAAATCGAATAAAATTTACTGATAAATGACACCTCCTCTAAGAAAAAAAGGGTGGGTGGGCGGGGCTAAAACCTACTAAAATAAAACTAAACAATATTAAGAGTAATCACTGGAATGAAGAGCGGGTGGGTGGGCGGGGCTACTGTTTTCTTATAATATTCGGTAGAAAAAAGTTAAATTTAGCCCAACCCACCCACCCGTTGTCTCATTTTTTGTAAGATAGGACTGGACAATATTAAGAGTAATCACTGGAATGAACAGGGGGTGGGTGGGCGGGGCTATTGCTTGTTTATGAAAGATTCTTCAGGAAAAAGTTAAATTTAGCCCCGCCCACCCACCCGTTCTCTCATTTTTTCTTCAGAAATAAGAAATAAATGTTAGAGCAAATAAGTAGTATAACAAAAAAATACGATTAACGTTTTTTTAACAGCCTACGTTCTATTAGTTCCCATGCTCACTTAAAAAAAAAAACATACAAGGTGTTTCTTTTACTTAATACAACCCTTCTAACTTTCTTATTCTTAAATATAAACCTGTAGTTCTTGGAGCAAATTTGTATCATTTTAACAGATCTATGTGACGGTAACCTCACATTTTTTTGTCACCTCCTGTAGAAGCGGAAATGACGTCAACTTATTTTTTTTTATGGAACACTAGATGTATTTTTTCATAAATAGAAAGACTGATTTTTTGTAAAAAATCACAAGCACCCAATATTCTAAAATTATACTTAAATAGTCATTCAAAAATACACGAAAAATTCATATTTATTGATGACAATCTAGTAACTTAAAAAATTGACACTCCTGCAATTTATTGGTAAATGACATATCCTCTAAGAAAAAAAAAGGGTGGGTGGGCGGGGCTAAAACTTGCTAAGATATTACTGAACAATATTAAGAGTAATCACTGGAATGAAGAATGGGTGGGTGGGCGGGGCTTTCGCTTGCTTATAAAAGATTCAGTAGGAAAAAGTTAAATTTAGCCCCGCCCACCCACCCGTTGTTTCATTTTTACTAAGATAGGACTGAACAATATTAAGAGTAATCACTGGAATGAAGAGGGGGTGGGTGGGCGGGGCTACTATTTGCTTATGAAAGACTGTGTATTAAAAAGTTAAATTTAGCCCCGTGTAGAAACGGAAATGACGTCAATTTTTTTTTTTATGGAACAATGGTTTTTTTTTTATAAGCGGAAAGTCTCATTTTTTGTAAGCAATAAAAAGCAACCAATTTTCTAAAATCAAACTTAAATAGTTACTCAAAAATACACGAAAAATTCATATTTATTGACGACAATCTTGTAACTTGAAAAATTGACACTCGTGCAATTTATTGGTAAATGACATATCCTCTAAGAAAAAAAAAAGGGGGGTGGGTGGGCGGGGCTATTGCTAACTTATGAAAGATTCTGCAGGAAAAAGTTAAATTTAGCCCCGCCCACCCACCCGTTGTTTCATTTTTACTAAGATAGGACTGAACAATATTAACAATAATCACTGGAATGAAGAGGGGTGGGTGGGCGGGACTACTATTTGCTTATGAAAGACTCTGTATTAAAAAGTTAAATTTAGCAAATTTGTATCATTTTAAAAGATCTATGTGATGCCAACCTCACACTTTTATTATCACTTCCTGTAGAAGCGGAAATGACATCAACTAAATTTTTTTTATGGAACACTGGGTATATTTTTTTCATAAATAGAAAGACTGATTTTTTGTAAAAAAACAAAAGCGACCAATATTCTAAAATCATACTTAAATAGTTATTCAAATATACACGAAAAATTCATATTTATTGATGACAATCTAGTAACTTGAAAAAGTGACACTCGTGAAATTTATTGGTAAATGACATATCCTCTAAGAAAAAAAAAAGGTGGGTGGGCGGAGGTAAAACTTGCTAAGATAGTACTGAACAATATTAAGAATAATCACTGGAATGAAGAGGGGGTGGGTGGGCGGGGTTATTGCTAACTTATAAAAGATTCTGTCAGAAAAAGTTAAATTTAGCCCCGCCCACCCACCCGTTGTTTCATTTTTACTAAGATAGGACTGAACAATATTAAGAGTAATCACTGGAATAAAGAGGGGGTGGGTGGGCGGGGCTACTACTTGCTTATGAAAGACTCTGCATTAAAAAGTTAAATTTAGCCCCGCTCACCCACCCGTTCTCTAATTTTTTCTTCTGAAATCGGAAATAAATGTTATGGCAAATAAGTAGTATAACAAAAAAATCACGATTAACGTTTTTTTAACAGCCTACGTTCTATTAGTTCCCATTCTCATTTTACAAAAAAAAACATACAGGGTGTTTCTTTTATTTGATACAACTTCTTGTAACTTTGTTATTCTTAAAGATAAACCTGTAGTTCTTTGAGCAAATTTGTATAATTTTAACAGATCTATGTGATGGCAACCTCACATTTTTATTATCGCTTATTGTAGAAGCGGAAATGACGTCAACTTAATCTTTTTTATGGAACACTACGTATATTTTTTTCATAAATAGAAAGACTGATTTTTTGTAAAAAATCAAAAGCAACCAATATTCTAAAATCATACTTAAACAGTTATTCAAAAATACACGAAAAATTATTATTGTTTGCCTATAAAAGACTCTCTAGGAAGAAGTTAAAGTTAGCCCCGCCCACCCACCCGTTCTCATTTTTGTTCTTAAGAAATAAGAAATAAATGTTACAGCAAATAAGTAGCATAACAAAAAAATTACGATTAACGTTTTTTTTAACAACCTACGTTCTATTAGTTCCCATTCTTACTTTACAAAAGAACATACAGGGTGTTTTTTTTTTAATACAACCTCAGTAACTTTTTTATTCTTAAAGATAAACCTGTGGTTCTTTGGGCAAATTTGTATCATTTGAAAAGATCTATGTGATGGCAACCTCACATTTTTATTATCATTTCCTGTAGAACCGGAAATGACGTCACCTTTTTTTTTATGGAACACTGGATATTTTTTCATAAATGGAAAGTCTGATTTTTTGTAAACAATCAAAAGCAACCGATATTCTGAAATCATACTTGAAAAGTTATTCAATAAAATAGACTAAAAATTCACATTTATTGATCTTTATCAATAAATTATCAATCTTGTAAATTGAAAAATGTCATTTATTCACATAAGCCATATTTTAAAATAAAACAAATTCTCTCAAAGAACTATAGTACGTTTATCTTTAAATAAAAAACTTACAGGGGTTGTATTAAATAAAAGAAACACCTGGTATAATTCACCCCGCCTCCATTTCAGTGATTCATTTTGCTTAGTCCGAATGAAAGATGGAAAAATGGAATGGAAAGAGAGATAAAATTGTTAAAATCTACCGCTTATTCATAAAACTAGAAAAACAGTATTGTATTTTCAAAATTTTCTGGGCAAATGGGGCGAGTCGTAACTGATTTAATCAATAAAATAAATTCACGCATTCATTAATTTTTTGAGTCACCCTGTATGGAATGATAAATCACAAATGCGAACTCATCATATTTTGGATATTTTAGATAGGAATTTTAAGATGACGTCATAGATTGTTGGTGGGAAGTATCAGATAAATTTTAGTTGGCGTTGTAACATCTAGGGAATATTTTAGAGGTTATGTATTTGTCATCAAAAAAAAAGTGGGCCCTAATTTTCCATACTTTTAGAGATTGTTTTTCTGCGAATAAAAAGTTTACTAATAGCGTATTAAAAAAAATAATCAATATTTAAAAATGCTATTTTTTTTTTAATTTCTGAATAAATGAGTCATTGTTTGCATCAGGCTGTCGCTTCCACTCCAGCGCCGCTTTTACTATCGCTAATTGATTTTAGGTTACTGAGCCAACCAGTCTAGTAAAAGTAGCCGTCAGCACGCAAAGACTTTCGTTTTTCTTTTCCCGGCATGCGTCCGCTCAGGAGCGATTATTTTGATACGTATCCCTTTTTTTGAGTCCAGAGTGTAATGAGCAGTTTGTATTCAAGGTTCTCATTTGTTTTCATTACTACCGCACTATTACAAAAATAGTGTGAAGGTCAGCGATGTTTTCGTATTATCTTTACATAAATGAGCAAAAATGCTATACAATTAAAAAGCATTCGGTTGTTGCAATTTTGATTTACCTGACGCTCGGTTTGGGCGAGGGCTGGGGGCTGGCACTGGGTTTTGGCAAGATGTTGAGGTGCGGTTTAAGCTTGATGATGTTCTGCGATTGGCTGGTTTGTATGGGTCTGGCCAGCAGCGAGTGGCTGTTGATGATCTGCATAACCGGAAAGCTCGGCTGGGGCGTAGGGGGCTTGAGGTTAGGCGAAGGCGACTTGAGACTAGCAGGCGACGAGTACGGAGACGGCGGATAGCCGGGGCTTGGATTGGAGTAGGCTGGAGACATGTTGGTCACGATCTGCGGCTTCTTGACCAGGTTGAGGTTGTTGGAGCCCACCACCGTACAGTTAGTGCTCAGGTTCTCGTAGTCGATCTTCTCCGGCTTTATCTGGTAGCTGTTGGCGGAATTCTTCGGTGATTTGCACATCTTCTGACCGAGCTTCTGGGGCGTTTGAGACATTTTTCCTACGACACTAACCCTCACAGTATCTTTAAGTACGACATCGTGGCTACGCTAGTTACACAAAAACGAAACGAAGGGAAAGAAAATGTACACCGGAATGTCGTTTCTGCTGCCTAAACCTAACTCATCGTGCGAAGCGTTTGTGGGCGAACGAGTCACAAAAGTCTGAAAGCACTGGTCACTCTGGCTTAGCCGAACTCGAATAGGGCCATTTTATCGTTGTAAACATCGAGAGGGAACGCCGTGAGCCAAGGCATTATTTCGTTCGGGGTTGCTCCATGGGGGCGGGTTTTGTGCTGCCGACGGCCGAATTTTCGTTAGGAGCGACGCTGCGCTGCGTCGACTGGGCGCCCCTGAGCCCCCTTCGTGCGACTCCGCCCCGACTTTAGTCAGAAATTGCCCCAAAACCTGCAACATCACAACAAAAACTTCAATCCAAACATAACCTCTACGTTTACGTCAGATTTCGCAGCAACGGCCGCGTCACAGCCGCCTAGATACGCACGTTTCGCTCGAGCGAGGCCCCCCTCGGGTCCCGGCGGCGGTGCGGCGGCGGCGCTCGCGCCTCCTCTTTGTTTATAAACAAATTCGCAAATTCGCAACCACAAATAACTAATCACTCTACCGCCATCTTTTACGATGCCCCTTTTTTCGTCTTCTTCTTGTCGCATTCCCCCCACCCCAGCGAAAAATGGACCGGTCCGACGAGCTTCAAGGCTGTTCCACGTGGGAAAGCGGCGGCAGCGGCGGCGGTCGCTACGTCGCCGCCGCCGCCTCCGGCCCGCTCGGGCGGCCCCCGCCCCGCGGCGCTCCGCCGAGGCCCCCAGCGCCGCCGGAGTGGGGGGAGCATACCTGCGACAGCCCCAAAGGAGCAACGAACGCGATCGCGCAAAAATCGATAAGAAAGTTAGGTTATCTGCGGTCGAGGGGGCAAAATCCATGTGTGCCGCGAGCGGGCACCTCGCCGCCTCCCGCCCCACGTCTCGCCAAAAAAAACGGAATTTTTTGGGGCCTTTCGGGCCCGCGTGGGGCCGCAGTGGTGCTGCTCGCACGATTTCCGTGATAAAATGAATAAAATTTCTACGTACCTCAAACAATTTTCACTTCATTGGCAAAAACGGGGTCCACTACTACGCTAGCAGGGAATACGCGACGCTGATTGGCCGGCCGCTCGCGTCATTTGATACACAAAAAAAATAACACCAGCGCCGCCGCACGCCAAACTCGCTCTTATCCCCTCTTCGTTAAAACCCAAAGTCGCTTGCAGGCGCACTGGAAGCTTGCTGCGTCGAAACCGTCCTTCCCCTCCCTCGGCCATTCCGGCAACTCTTTCACTTACCTCGAAGTCCCTAATTACGGGAGAAGGGGCCCCCACCCCATTAACCCCTTATCGATTGAAAATATGCAAAACTTTATTCTCAATACAACAAATAAATACAAAAATACCCTAGACTTAGCGCTATATATACAATATTAGGAGCACTCCATGGCGGCCCACGAGTTCGAGTTTTCGTTGAACGCCGGCGGCTCGACGCGGGTTTCCTCCACGGGGGCGGCGGCCGGGGGCTCCGCTGCCGCAGCCCCGTTCTCCTGAGCGTTCGGTTCCTCCCAGTTGATCTTGAAGCGCGTCACGCGAGGCTCCGAAGCCAGAATGTTCCGAACGACCTTATCGAACTGCGGGGGGCTCGGCGGGTTCTCGCGCAGCTCCTGGTCCGTGTACTCGTTATTAATAAAGTAGCCAACCCGGATGAACTCCTGCGAGCGATACGAGCAAGTGAGCAGCACCACAGTCACCCCAATAGCGTCATTCTCAGGGATACGAGTCACGTTAGGGGGGTCCGCCTGGAACACGAACATGTGTTTCCCCTCAGGAATGGGGCCCACCATAACCGAGTCCAGAATCTGATCATACTCTTCGCTTTCCGCCGAACCAACATAAATCATCTTCCACTCTAAATCTGAAAAACCAAGTTATTCAAAACAAAACCGAAACAAGGGGGCCACTCACCTTCTTTGAGCTCCTCGATGCATTCAAAAGTGATTTCGAACTGAAAGGGGTTCGAGAACGGACTGGGATTGTCCATGACTGTGATATTACAAAGCTGAACTTTAGCCATTCTAGTAATTCCAAATAACGATCAACAATTGATTTTTAGGTTAGGAATGCTGACTGTGGCAGGCGGTCCGAAAAGGCTCTGGGGTGTCCAGAAATTAAACTAGATGCAGAGAAAGGTCACTTTTGGGCAAAAATCATCAACGCGGCGAGATATTACGTAAAAAATTGGCGTCGGATTTTCATTTACAACGGTGTATTGTTATTTTGCCCGCGAACAATTTTTGACAGTTGACAATTGTCACAGGACGCCAACGTTGTGGCCGAAAAATCCCCACGATAACGTATTATTTGTCACAAAAGAAGACAAAATTTATCGGGTTTTTGCGACTGAAACGCTTCGTGGTGCCTTTTTTGCTTACCTTTATCCCATTTTTACGACCACATTGTCCACTGTCACTCGAATCATAGATTAATGTAGATGCGACAACCAGGCTGATTTTGCAAAAGCGCCCTTATTGACATTGGAGTCGTCAAGCGCCAAATTTAAATAGTCGATGCCAATAAAAAAACTTGTTTCACTACAACTCGTCGCCTGAGGACTTGTTTGTTCTATAGACCAGAGCGCGCTCAGGCCAATGTCGACTCTAAGCGTTCAGAAGCGAATTTTGGATTAAAATAATCGAAAATTCGAAAAATCGAGAAATCTAATGATCGAAAAAACGAAACCTTAAAAAATCGTAAAACCGAAACATTGAAAAATCGAAATATCGAAGAACTGAAAATCGAAAAATGAAACATCAGAAAATCGAAAAAATGTAAAATTCAAAAATCTGAAATTTAAAAACCGAATGACGAAAAATCGGGAAATCGAAACTCCCAAATTTAAAAAATCGGATAACTGAAAAATCGAAACATCGAAAAACCGAGAAATCGAAAAATCAAAAGATCAAGAAATCGTGGAGTCGAAAAGTCGAACAATTGAGAAACCAAAATGGGTCAAAATCAAAAAATCGAAAAGTTAAAAATTGAACAATTTATAAATTGAGAAATTGACAATCAAAATATCGAAAAATTCAAATCTCGATAAATCGAGAAATCAAAAAACTTAAAAATTCGAAAAATTGAAAAATTGGGAGATTGAAAGATCAAGAGAACGAGAAATCGAAAAGTGATGAAGTAGAAAAATCGAAAAATAGAGAAATCGACAAACAAAAATTCAATTTTATAATTTTTTTTTTCAGTGTGAAATTTTTCAGTTTTTGAATTTTTCAATTTTTCGGTTTGCGATTTTTGATTTGCAATTTTTCTAGATTTCATTTTAAATACATATGTAGTAATAATCTTTTTTTATTTTGCGATTTTAGAATTGTTTAATTCTTCAATTATTGGAATTTATAACTTTTTCATTTTTATTCGATTTTCCAATTTTTTGATTTAGATCTTTTATGTTACAGCTTTTCAATTTTCCAATTTTTCGATTCGATTTGTTTTTTCTTCTGTCCAATTTTTCGATTTTTAGTTTTTCAGTTTCAATTTTTCGTTTCGTCGGTTCTTCGATTTGCAATTTTTTGATTTTTCATTTTTTTGTTCCTTCAATTTTTCGATCTAAAATTTTTCGATTTTTCAGTTTTTTGATTTTCTAACTTTTAGATTTTTCAATTTTTCGTTTTTTCAGTTTTTTAGATTTTTTATTTTTGATTTTTCATTTTCACGATTTTTCAATTTTTTGCGATTTTAGAATTGTTTCATTGTTCAATTACGTATTGGATTTTATAACTTTTTCATTTACATATTAATTTTTCGGCCTTTCAATGTTACAGATCTTCGATTTTACAATTTTTTCGAATCGATTCGTTTTTTCTTCTTTCCAATTTTTCAATTTTTCGTTTCGTCGGTCCTTTGATTTGCAATTTTTCGATTTAAATTTTCTGGAGCTTTCAATTTTAAAAATTTTCGATTTGGGGCTTTCATTTTCATTTTTAATTGTCTGTATTTTTACAATTTTTCATTCTTCACTCTTGGACAAATATTTCAGTTTTTCGATTTTCCAGCTTTTGGATGTTTCAATTTTGTAAAATTTGCTATTTTTCGATTTACAATTTCACGAATTTTCAATTTTTCGATTTGCAATTTTTTGTCTCGGTTTTTTTATGTTCTTTATTTTATCCATTTTTCGGTTTTTCAGTGTTCTGAGTTTATAATTTTTCTTTTTCTCAATGTGATTTTTTTTAATTTTTTGATTTTCAATTTTTCGATTTGAAATTTTTCGTTTCTTCAGTTTTTCTCGATTTCGTTTTAAATATGCAATAATAATAATCTTTCCAATTTTGGAATTTTAGAATTTTCATTTTTTAATTTTCCAGTTTCGATTTTTAAGTTTTTAATTTCTCGACGTTCAATTTTTTAATTACAGCTTTTCGATTTTACAATTTTTCGGATTTCCAATTTTTCGATTCGATTCGTTTTTTCTTCGTTCCAATTTTTCGATTTTCTTTCTAGGTTTTCGATTTTGCAATTTTTCGTTTTTTCAGATTTTCAATTTCTCAGATTTTCCTGTCTTTTTACTTTTTCGATTTTCCAACTTTTCGAATCAGAGAAATGGAAAAATTGAAAATTGTAAAAACCTAAAACGTATATGTAAAATGAAAACTTGGAAAAATCTAAAAATTGGAAATTAAGAACTAGAAAAATTGAAAAAACGAAAAATAGGTCGAAATCGAAGGATTAAAAATTAAAAATCGAAAAAGTGCAAAATGTGAAAATCGAAAAATTGAAAAATCGAAAAAGTAAAATAATCAACAAATCGAAAAATCCAGGGGTCAAAAATCGAGAAGTCGAAGAATCGAAATATTGAAAAATCCCAAAACTGAGATATCCAAAAACTGAAAAATGAAAGAAAAACTGAAAAATGGAAAACCTGAAAAATCCGAAAACTGAGAACCTAAAAAGTCGAAAAATTGAGCAATCGAAAAATCCAAAAAGTAAAGTCGAAAAATCGAAACCTTAAAAAACTAAAAAATGAAAAATCGAAAAATTACAGCATTGAAAAACAGGAATATCGAAATCTTCGTAAGTCAAGAAATGGGAAAGTCAAAACATCGATTAATTGAAAAATCGATAAATTGACAATTTAAATGTCAAATTTGAAAAATTGAAAAATCGAAAATTTGAAAAAAACGACAATTGAAAAACAGAAAATCTAAAACCGGGAAGTCGAAAAATCGATAAATTAAGAAATCAAAACATTTGAAAAATTCGAAAACATGAAAAACGGAAATATCGAAGAACTGAAATGAAAAATCGAGAAATCGAAAAATCTAAAATTTTCAACATTGAAAAATTAAAATATCAAAAAACTGAAACATCTAAAATTTAAAATCGAAAAATTGAAAAATCGACAATTGAAAAACAGAAAATTTAAAACCGAGAAGCCGAAAAATCGAAACTTTTGAAAAATTGAAATATGGAAGTGCTGAAATGAAAAATCGAGAAATTGAAAAATCTAAAATTTTAAACATTGAAAAATTAAAATATCAAAAAACTGAAAAAACTAAAATTTAAAAATCGAAAAATTGAAAAGACGATAACTGAAAAACAGAAAATCTAAGACCGAGAGGTCGAAAAATCGGAAGATTAAGAAATCCAAACTTTTGAAAAAGTGAAATATGGAAGAGCTGAAATGAAAAATCGAAAAATCTAAAATTTTAAATATTGAAAAATTAAAATACCAAAAAATTGAAAAATCTAAAATTTAAAAATCGAAAAAGTCAAAAGTCGACACATCGACATTTTTAGATTTTCCAGTTTTCCATTTTCCAACTTTTTGATGTTTCAGTTTTTCGATTTTGCAATTTTTCGATTTGCAATTTCACGAATTTTCAGTTTTCCAATTTACAATTTTCCGTTTCGGTTTTTTATTTTCTTTATTTTTTCAATTTTTCGGTTTTTCAATGTTCTGGTTTTACAATTTTTCTTTTTTCTGTGTCAAATTTTTCGCATTGAAAAAAAGAAAAATTATAAACTCAAAACACTGAAAAACCGAAAAATGGATAAAATTAAGAACATAAAAAACCGAAACAAAAAGTTAATTGTTTTTTGAAAAACCTAAAAGTTGGAAAATCGAGAAATTATAAAATCCAAACACTGAAAAATAAAAAAATCGAAACGAAAATTTGGAAATTCTAAAAATTGAAACATCCAAATGTTAGAAAATCGAAAAAGTGCAAAATGTGAAAATCGAAAAATTGAAAAATCGAAAATAATCAACAAATCGAAAAATCCAGGAGTCAAAAATCGAAAAATTGAAAAATCCCAAAACTGGGATATCCAAAAACTGAACAATAAAGGAAAAACTGAAAAATTGAGAAATCGAAAAACCAAAAATCCTGAAAAAGCAATCAATTGAAAAATCGACAAATAAAGAGTTTATAAAAGTCAAAAACTGAAAAATCGTAAAATTGAAGAGAAAAACTGAAAACTGAGAAATTGAATAATAAATAGGAATAAACTGAAAAGTCCGCAAACTATAATTTCGAAAAACTGAGAAATCTAAAGTTGAAACAGCAAGAAATTATAGGTTAGGATGTGTATCAAACTGGTGCGTAGATCAAACAAGTTCTCAGACGACGAACTGTAATTATTATTATTCTGGTATATCTAGTGTCAATTTGTCGAAAGTAAAACGCGTCGTGAAAAATATTATGACATTAGTTAATTTTATTCCTAGTTAGAAACATACACTGTTGCCAACATAAGTCGCGGAGTCCTCAACCGTCATTTAATTTAAACTATGACGCATCTCGATGTTCTCTGCTCGAACCCAACTAACTAAACAACATAAATCGTTATATACTGGGTGGCCAGCTTCGCTATATACACCATGGTCTGGTAAAACGTTCAATAAAAATAATTTTATTTCTTAAAATACACAACTGAGATTACAAGTAAATTAAGCACCTTTGAAGTACTGCACGGTTACCCCTACGTACGAAACAATACACAGTAAAAATTCGATGTTTGACAGTAACAGATTAGTGGAAACTAAAAATACGTATGTGAAGTCAGTTACAATGAATGATGCTTGATATCACAATTAAACGACTTAAGTAATCGTGCTGGTTTAAGTCATCAGTGGTTCATGAACACCCCCTTTCCTGTCATACGTGGTAGCGTCATCGTCTAAATCGCTCGACAGTAACAACTTGCGCCCGCTCTTATTCCTTCCAAGAAACCTAGAACGTTAAGATAAGTCCTGATAAGAACCGCCAGACGTGGGAGAGGTTAAGTGCATTAGTGACGACAGGAAAACAACACACACAAACAAAAATAAAAAAACAAGAAAATACTCGTCACTATAATTAAAATAATAAAAAACATCACAGCATCATGCTTTCTGGTCAAAATAACTTACATTAAACCGCTTTGGTTTTACTAAACTTAATATCAGTTCTACGGCATATATGTTTTTTATAAAAGGTAGTCATTACAGTTTCTCGTATACCTTGACATGGATGGCGTCCCGTTCAAGTTTTCGATGTCGTCTATACCCCTGTGTATCGAAATACTGTCCAAGTCGTTGGCGTTCCTCAAGGCCAAGTACTCCTCGGTTTGTAATTCCCGCGCTGTGGGTTTTTTCCACAACTTCAGGAGCAAACTTGACCCCACGACTGACACGCTGCTCAAGGCCATGGCGGCGCTCGCCATCCACGGTGCCAACATAAACCCGATAAAACTGAAAGCTCCAGCAGCCAATGGAATGCCTGAATCGAAATTGACATAACCTCACTTTTGTAAATGTCATACCATTGTTTAAGTATATTATAGTTGGACAACCTATATGGACAATGACTTTTTTTTTAATATATTGTAATATGTAATGCAGTAAATTCTCGAAATCGAATAATAAAAAAATCAAAAAAATTAAAATTGGAAAATCTAAAATTTAAAAATCGAGAAATTGAACAATCGGTTAATTCAAAAATCCAAACATCGAAAAACTGGAAAATCGAAAAATAAAAAAAATTGGACAATCGAAAATTTAAAAATTCCAAAAATTGAAAAATTGAAATATAGAAGAACTAAAAACTCAAAATATCAAAAAAAACTAATAATTTAAAAATTGAAAAGTTAAAATTGAGAAATCGAAAAACTGAAAAATCACAAAATTGAACGAAATATCCAAAAATTAGGAAATTAAAAATTGAGAAACAGAAAAGTCAAAAAAGCAGAGTCGAAAAATCGCAAACTTAAAAAATCGAAAAATTGAAAAATCAAAAACCTGAATAATCGAAAAATTGAAGAATTGAAGAATCGAAACTTTGGGAAGTGGAGAAATGGGAGTATAAAAAAATAAGATTAATGGAGAAATCCGAAAACTAAAAAATTCGAAAATATAAAATTTAAAAATCGAAAAAGTGAAAAATCAACGAATCGAGAAGTCGAAACATCGTAAAATTCACAAAATTGAGACATCGAGAATTTTGATTTTTCAAAAGACCAAAAAATCTAGGAGTGGAAAAATGAAAAATTGGGAAACCGAAATTGGCCAAAAATATGGAAAAATTGATAAAGCGAGAGATTGAACAATCAAAACATCGAAACATCCGAATCTCAAAAAATTGAGATCTCAAAAAATTTAAAAATTCGGAAATTTGAAAACTTAAAATATAGAACTGCAAACTCGAGAAACCGAAAAATCCAGAAATCTAAAAATTAAAATATGGAAAAGTTGAAAAATTGAGAAATAGAAATGTAAAACAATCGAAAAATTGAAAAATCGAAAGTATAAAAAATGAAAAACTGAAAATCCAAAAATAAAAAATCGAAAATTTAGAAGTCGAAAAATCGAAGAATCGAAGTATTGAAAAGTATCAAAACTGAAAGAAAATCCAAAAATTGAGAAATCGAAAAACCACTAAAGCGAAGTCGAAAAATCGAAGAATTGAAGAACTGAAAAATCGAGAGAACCGGGAAAATCAAAAATAGAAAAATTTAAATACTGAAGAACTTAAAAGTCAAAAAATCGAGAAATCGAAAAATCTAAAATTTAAAACATTGAAAACTTAAAATATCCTAAAACTGAAAAATGGAGAAATCCAAACATCAAAAAATCCAAAAAATAAAAATTTAAAAATCGAAAAACTGAAAAATCAACGAATCGAGAAGTCGAGAATTTAAAAAATTGGAAAATTGAAAAAGCGGATAAATCAAAAATCGAAACATCGAAAAATCGAGAAACCGAAAAGCAAAAAATCGAAAAACCAACAAATCGAAAAATCGAAACATCGTAAAATTCAAAAATTGAGACATCGAGAAATCGAAAAATCAAAAGACCAAAAAATCTAGGAGTGGAAAAATCGAAAAATTGGGAAACCGAAATAGGCCAAAAATATGGAAAAATTGATAAAGCGAGAGATTGAACAATCAAAACATCGAAACATCCGAATCTCAATAAATTGAGATCTCAAAAAATTTAAAAATTCGGAAATTTGAAAACTAAAAATATAGAACTGGAAACTCGAGAAACCGAAAAATCTAGAAATTTAACAATTAAAATAAGGAAAAGTTGAAAAATTGAGAAATTGAATTACAAAACAATCGAAAAATTGAAAAATCGAAAGTAAAAAAATGAGAAACTGAAAATCCAAAAATAAAAAATCGAAAATCTAGAAGTCGAAAAATCAAAGAATCGAAGTATTGAAAAGTATCAAAACTGAAAGAAAATCCAAAAATTGAGAAATCGAAAAACCACTAAAGCGAAGTCGAAAAATCGAAGAATTGAAGAACTGAAAAATCGAGAGAAGTGGGAAAATCAAAAATAGAAAAATTTAAATACTGAATAACTGAAAAGTCAAAAAATCGAGAAATCGAAAAATCTAAAATTTAAAACGTTGAAAAGTTAAAATATCCTAAAACTGAAAAATGGAGAAATCCAAACATCAAAAAATCCAAAAAATAAAAATTTAAAAATCGAAAAACTGAAAAATCAACGATCGAGAAGTCGAAAATTTAAAAAATTGGAAAATTGAAAAAGCGGATAAATCAAAAATCGAAACATCGAAAAATCGAGAAACCGGTAAGCAAAAAATCGAAAAACCAACAAATCGAAAAATCGAAACATCGTAAAATTCAAAAATTGAGACATCGAGAAATCGAAAAATCAAAAGACCAAAAAATCTAGGAGTGGAAAAATTGAAAAATTGGTAAACCGAAATAGGCCAAAAATATGGAAAAATTGATAAAGCGAGAGATTGAACAATCAAAACATCGAAACATCCGAATCTCAATAAATTGAGATCTCACAAAATTTAAAAATTCGGAAATTTGAAAACTTAAAATCTAGAACTGGAAACTCGAGAAACCGAAAAATCCAAAAATTTAAAAATTAAAATATGGAAAAGTTGAAAAATTGAGAAATTGAAATATAAAACAATCGAAAAATTGAAAAATCGAAAGTACAAAAAATGAAAAACTGAAAAATCAAAGAATCGAAGTATTGAAAAATATCAAAACTGAAATAAATGTCCAAAAATTGAGAAATCGAAAAACCAATAAAACGAAGTCGAAAAATCGAAGAATTGAAGAACTGAAAAATCGAGAGAAATGGGAAAATCAAAAATAGCTTCTTCGAGAAATCAGAAAACTGAAAATTTAACGTAAAAATTTGAAAAATTGAAAAATTTAAATACTGAAGAACTGAAAAGTCAAAAAATCGAGAAATCGAAAAACCTAAAATTTAAAACATTGAACAATTAAAATATCGCAAAACTGAAGAATCGAGAAATTCAATTCAATTTAAAAAATTAAAAAATTGAAAAATTGGAAAATCCAGAAATTGAAAAGCTCAAAAGAAAAAAATCGAAAAACCGAGAAATCCAAAAATCGAAACATCGAAAAATTCAAAAACTGAGACATCGAGAAATCGAAAAATCGGAGGATCGAGATATGGAGGACTCGGAAGCCGAAACGGAAAGTTAAAAATTGAAAAATTGATAAATTGAGAAATTGAACAATCAAACCAACGAAACATCTGAATTCGATAAATTGAGAAATTAAAAAATTGAATAATCGAAAAATTTTAATAAAAGAAAAACTGGAAAATCGAAAATTAAAATTAAAAAAATCGAAAAATTGAAATATAGAAGAATTGAAAACTCGAGATATCGAAAAACATAGAATTTAAAAAAATTAAATATTAAAACATCGAAGAGTTGAAAAATTGAGAAATCGAAGTATAAAACAGTCGCAGAATTGAAAAATCTAAAGTTTACAATAAATTGAAAATCCATCAATTCAAAAATCGAAAAGTCGAAGAATTGAAATATTGATAATCTCATATCTGAAAGAAATATTCAAAAAATTGAGAAATTAAAAAATTGGAAAATTGAGAAATCGAAAATCTAAAAAAGCAAAATCGAAAAATCGCAAGCTTAAAAAATCGAAAAATTGAAGAATTGAAGATGTGAAAAATCGAAAAACCGAAAATTTAGAAACGTGAAAATTTGAAAAATTCAAATATTTAAAAACCGTAAAATTGAAGAGGACAAATATGGAGAAATCGTATTATTGAAACATCGAAAAATAAAAAAAATTGAGAAATGGAAAATTTGAAGAATGGAAGAATTGGAAAAGCCCAAAATTGAAATCTTGAAAAATTGAGACATCTACTAAAGTTGAAAAATCGAGAAGTCGAAAAGCCGAAAAATCACAAGATCAGGACTATGCTACATTTTAAAATTTAAATAACATTATAAATCGTATTTTTGGAACAAAATCTACCAAAACGTCGGATAACAGCAATTGTTTTTCATAGAAACAGTCTTCAAAGCAGCCAAATTAAAAAATCGTAATCTTAAAAAATCGAAAAATTGAGGAATTGTAGACGTGAAAAATCGAAACTTTAGGAAATCCAGAAATGGCCAAATAAAAAAAAATACTTTAGAAATCGACAAACTGAAAATTTAGAAACGTGAAAATTTGAAAAATTGAAAAATCGAAATATTTAAAAACCGTAAAATTGAAGAGGACAAAAATTGAGAAATCGTATCATTGAAACATCGTAAAATCGAGAAATCGAAACATAAAAAAATCAAAAAAATTAAAAATGGAAAATCTAAAATTTAAAAATCGAGAAATTGAACAATCGGTTAATTCAAAAATCGAAACATCGAAAAATTGGAAAATCGAAAAATAAAAAAAAATTGGACAATCGAAAATTTAAAAATTCCGAAAATTGAAAAATTGAAATATAGAGAACTGAAAACTCAAAAAATCGAAAAAAATTAATAATTTCAAAAATTGAATAGTTAAAATTGAGAAATCGAAAAACTGAAAAATCTCAAAATTGAACGAAATATCAAAAAATTAGGAAATTAAAAAATTAAGAAACAAAAAAGTCAAAAAAGCAGAGTCTAAAAATCGCAAACTTAAAAAATCAAAAAATTGAAAAATCAAAAACCTGAATATCCGAAAAATTGAAGAACTGAAGAACTGAAAAATCGAACTTTAGGAAGTGAAGAAATGGGAATATAAAAAAATAGATTAATCGAGAAATCCGAAAACTAAAAATTCAGAAACGTCAAAATTTGAAAAATAAAAAAATATTGAAGAACTAAAAAATCGAAAAATCTAAAATTTAAAACATTGAAAACTTAAAATATCCTAAAACTGAAAAATGGAGAAATCCAAACATCAAAAAATCAAAAAAAAATAAAAATAAAAATCTAAAATTTAATAATCGAAAAACTGAAAAATCAACGAA